ATCTTTTTAGAACTCATTGTATTCGTCAGCTTGAAACTGTAGTTGTTAATCATCGTGCTAATCTTGTATAACGAAATTTCAGTCTTTCCTCCATTAGATCTAGCGACTACAAGTTTAACTGTAATAGCCGATAAGCATTATACTAATGAGAAGTTTCACAATGTGTTCATCGTGTATTCTAGTGAAAATTTTGTTGCCGAATAAGATGACTCTAAAGCTTTTCTAGCTGCTGCATTTTCTTTCCCCTGAAAATCAGTATCAGTCTATAACTAATTTACATGATGTCCAAAGCTGGTCCAGTGTCTCTGTATTCAAACGAATCAGTGAGGATGAGATTTTGTCCATCCTCATGCTATGTATTCAAGGATAATTAGTTATTTGCTAGTAATCAAGAAAGTGAAGCTGTGGTCCACTAGATTGCATAATTAGTTTTAAATAGGTAGTAAATTTCAGACTTCGATAAAACAGTAAGAAGACGCAAGTTACCTGGAACGTGCTATGCATTCGCGCAACACATTTCGGACATTCTAATCATACACATACTTGTCATACATACTTGTATAAAAGGCAATAAAGCGTAAATAATCGAAATTTTTTTATCAATATAGGTCAAAATGTTTACGGGTCATCATAGCAAATAAGGGCTAGGAAAATTGAGTGAGAAAAAAGAGGGGTGAAAATATTATTAAATGAGATGAACCTTGTTTCTAAAATTGGATTAATAAGGCAGGTTCAAAATAATAAGAAATACTTTTTGAACATAAAAAACAGGTTTAAGCCTTTTTATGGCTAATGGCTTCAACGAATTTAAGTATTTGTTGCACACCTGTTTTATGTATAGATTCAAAAGCGATATTGAAAGCAAGTTCATGACGCGTCTTAATGATACGCTTTGGGATACATGACGTTGGACGTCTATTTTCGAGATTAGTGAAATCAGGCTACTTTATTTATTCTTGCTGCCTCTTAGGAATGTGTTCTGTAGCCCTGACCTCCAGAGACCGGTAGGTCCTCCCCGTGTACCTGTGGCCATACATACATTTAAATTGGTAAACACATTGGAATGTGCTGCTATCGTCTGGATGTTGTGAGGGTTTAAAGGACAACATAAATTTCGTTTTCTCTATAACAACGAGTTTAGGTGCATAGTAAGTTCTGCCAAGTGGCACTCAGAGTCTTTGTTTAGTGATCATCTCTGAACAGTAGAGATATATAAACATCCTTTTCGGGAGCGGATTAGATTGGTCGAGCCTATTGTTTGACACTTCTGTAGCCGAGTGAAGACAGAAAGTATCATAACTCTGGAGAAAAGTGTAGTAAGTTTTTTAACACCGTACATATGTTAGGTTAGCTCCCTCTGCCTAAAAAGCAATTTAGTTAATTCATATTGTTCTTGAAGAATTATAATCTGGTAAAATGATGAACGCTGAACAAGCTCATAGCATATCTGAAGACTAGTGATGTTCAGTGTTAAACACATTTCATAAGTATTTAATTCAATTTAGATTTTCCTATCGATTGATTGGACCGAAGTGCTCGGTCTCAGGTTGACATGTTGGCTCCTTGTGCAGATGCTTCGACGATGTTGGATCATGTAACCTGAAGTCAATTGGTGGATAGTGACTAGCAGTGGAATCCAGGATGTGCATTTCGTCCTACTTGGGAGTCGTCATCTGGATGTACCTCCATTAATGAGACCCGTAGCATAAGAGGTGGCTCTCATGGCCCAAGTGGTCTAGTGGATAAAGCCTTGGCGTTTGAAACGATGGGCACTGGGTTCGAGTCCTCGGTGGGAACGTCATCACTGACTCACTGGGGAATGCAGGTACTTCCAGTTGACGAGTCCCAAATAGGACAAAATGTGCATCCTGGATTCTACTGCTAGTCACTGTCCACCAATTGACCTTTCATAAGTATTTATAAACCTCTTCTTCAGAAAGCATTTGGTTAGTTCTTTGGTTTGACCTTTGTAGTCTAGCATGAATGTCCGAAATTATTGTTAGTTGCTACCCCACCATCAAGAAAGATGTCGTGATTGATTATTCCAGGTTCTCTAATAATTGAATTACTTTAGTTTTTTTCTAACTGTATTGTGATGGCAGCCTTTATCAACGCATCCTCTGTTCCTTAAAAATTTATAATACCTTGTGTTTTACGATAATATTTAGGAAATTGCTGTAACAGGAACCCCTTTACAGTGAAGACTTCTGTCTTCTTGTTTAGTTGGATCAAGACTACTAGTAGTCTTTTTTCATTCTTGTCAATGAAGCAATCATTTGTTGTGTGTACCAGCGCGTGTTTCTTCATTCCTATGCGTTCTCAGTGGAACATAGGGCTTTAATCTTGAGGTTTGAATTTCCAGTGGTAGTGATGTTTTTACGATGCGGGATTACGTACCTCACGCCCAACCTTCTCTTTATACTGAACTTGATGCCGGCTAGGCGAGGTTCAGGAATACGTTAGCCGGGAGTCGAAATCCGGACCACATGGGATGTTGGCGACCATTCTACCACTGGACCACCACGTTTGTCTCCGCCTAATTATAACTGATCATATGACAGTTATGATAGTCTTAACAATGATTAATGTTTCATTTTTGTCACCTAATATAAACATCGTTGTTGGAAAATCATCATGGGACACAAGTTCGAAATAAGCTAGGTTGGTGTTAATGAAGCCATATCAGATATCGGATTTAGCTGTTTCCTTCTTTTATACTACACTTGAAGTAACCCATGGAAATGTCCTTCTCAGGGTTACCAATGATGCTGACTTTAATGATGTGACCATTTGATCCTACATCGTTGACTAATGATTTCTCAAGCAACTTAACAGATATTAAGCTGTAAGCAAAATTTACTGATTGAAGTCTTATTAGGATACTTATGTGTAGCAAGATTTTAAACTCATATCTTATAATTTAATTTAAAAGTCAAGCTCTTTATTCGAGGAGTCACTGTTTTCCTTGTTTGGGACTCCTGGCAGTGCACAGTGCTTATCCACTGTGAGATCACTCTCATGAACTTTAGGTATATTAGGGTGACATATCCTCCATCCATATTATAAATCTCCAAATTTTCAGATGTATATAGTTGGCATCTTAGAAACTAACCTTGCTTTAGTTATATGATGAAATGGGTTAACGATTGAATATTTTGCAGTTCTTCTGGTGGCCTGATTTATTATAAGTTTACAGCTTATGTTATGCACTTCATTCAACAAACTACATTAATGTTGACCAGAATGCACGAGACATATTAAAGATATAATGGAGAAGATTTGTAGCTCAGGTGGATGATTTTGATATAGTTTTGTTCTCTGTGTTCAGATATTGGACAGAGAAAACACTAAGAATGCTAGAGAATTTTTAGAAGCCTGGTATTCCAGTGAATCGTCAATTAATAGACACATTGACATAGAAAAAATTTACCAATCGATAAGAAGGAAATTTCATACACAAAGGGTCAAACTTCAGGTCAAGGAAACAATAAGTACCTATACCACAAGTAGCCTAGAGGGTGTGAAAACACACAAAAACAACCAATCACCAGGAGAGATGATTAATAAACTCGTGGAGAAATCTAAAAGTTCACTTCAAATTGAAGTATGCGCGGGAGATGTTGCCTAGTAGGGTATTGAAGGCTTCACAAATAAACCATCCGGCTCAGAGAACACAACTAAATCAAAACATATTAAAGATGTCATCGCTAATTCATGTTGTTGTATGTAGCGTACTGCGTTACCTGAAATAGCCTTATTTCTGAATATGAAATTTCACAGAATACATCTGTCTCAAGAACTGATTTTCACACTAACCATAGGAACAATCCATCTCTATCCAATATTCTAATAAGAGATTTTATTTTGTTTGTCGTAAGCGAAGGACGAAATGTGGGGATAATCAATGAATTCAGGAATGGATATTGTTAGCTGATTGGATATCAAATTTCAGTCACGCGAACAATTTGTCCGTCTATCCTTGAGACTATTGATTTTGCAAACAATGCATATTATCATGTGATTCAAGGTTGAATTTTCATTTTGTTTTGCTATTTTTCTACTTTGTCCGTATTTGAGGTTTATGCATTCAAAATTAGTTGGATAGATAGATAGGTGGATAACTTGGTTACATACTTCATCTTTTTTCATGACTATTTTAATGATACTTGTATTTTCCTGTTATTTTGTTTAGCTAAGCACACTCCTAGGTAGGACGAGATGTGCAACCCGACAACTTCCTGTCCATTAATATTCTTAGGTAAAATGTAGGCAACTATTGAAATGAGGAAAGTGTATAGTTTGTATCGAAATTAGGAGAAATAAGATACCAAAATTCAAGTGAAGGAGTTAGTTAGTGTATTTTATAAAGGAAATATTACTAAAATTATTATCTCAAGTATTTCAATTTAAAACGAAGCTATTTATGTCTTACTCAAAGCTAACTATATGATTAATTTAAATGCCTTTTAAGGAAAACTATTATTATTATTACTATTATCATTACCACTACCTTTCTTCAAACTGTTCAAAATTCAAACGAGACGCCACAGTAAAATAACACAGTAATACAGTATTATTTTTTGATTGGACACGAGTCAGTAACTAGTGTAATGTGTTCAGTCCTATCTTTGGTGCAGACTGAATTCTATCAGTCGCGTTTACAATGTGGCCACAAACGGCAATACAACGCTTTATGCGTGTCCAATCAAAATATCCAATACAGTGCTACAGGAGGTCAATCGTGAGCCCGAATAGCTCAGTGGTAACGTCTCTGACTGCAGCACCGGATGACGCGGGTTCAAACCTCAGAGGGGTGGGACATGAGTTCCTTCAAGGCTGCAGATACGCCTTGCTGAGTGGTGAGTGGCAACTAGTGCTAAACCTAGGTCCAAGGCTTCCTGCCGATTGTCTCCAACCATCTAATATACATATATATATATTCCTTCTATGAACTTATTAATTTACTTTTGTATTTCTTTCTTCTGTCTTTTTAAATCAAGCTTGTTGTCGACACTTCACTCACCGAGGAGTTCGAGTCAGAAAAACAATTATTTCAAGTAAGTGCTTTTCTTCGTTTTCACGTCCACACGACTGTTGTTCCGTATACTTTATGAAGATTCATTTTAAGGTTAATGGGCATATTTCGCCCATTAATTGATCACATCCAGTGACTGTGATGACTGTTGTGACAACAGAAGACAAGGGCCAGGCAACAGATCCTTTATTAAGGAAAATCAACACATATTTATAGATTTTAATGTACATTATTGTTAGTAGAAAATAGTCTTTTGATTGGTTGTTTCTCACAGAAAGTTAACCTTGCATCTCTTTGTGGCTGTGTCAGATCATCCATATGCTAACTGTATCCGCCTAAGCAAAGCCTTTGTTATCATTTTCTCACCACCAATATTGGGGACATAAACATTTACGTCAATTACTGTCTACCAACTTTGTCTGGCAGCCAGCTCTCACCATACTGAGTGTTCAGAAACTGTTCATAATTTGTATGAAGACCTGTACATTTTTGTCAATGATAGTTAATATTTAACTGTGATCTTACTTTATTAGAGAACTGAAGATAAGGATCATCACTATTTTCCATTTAATTTTATTTTTTCTGTTGATTGGTTGGACGTTTGAAACGATGAGTGTTGGATTCGAGTTTCAATGGGACGAGATCACTCATTGGGGATTGCAGGCACATGCAGCCGACGAGTCTCAAATAGGACGAAGTGCACATCTTGGATTCTACTGCTACTCTCCCATCCAACAAAACAGATCACCATCGTTTCCTTGATGACTTACACGATGAATTAGCTCGCACTAATATAAGAAAAGCGATAACGCTGAAAAATTGATTTATTCTAACTTCAAGAGTCGACGATGAATGTTACCGAGTCATCTGAAGTTTGATTTCGATATGATCTGATCCCTTGTTTAACAAACTATCAGTTTTGATCAATGGTTATGGATAGAAATCACATCTCAATCCCAAATCAGAATAAAATTGTAGAAGAGAGTACCCTTTGACTTTCTTGTGGTGTGGCAATAGTCACCATTTGTAAGTATAGTGACAGATGTTTACAACTTACAAAGCCAGTCATAAAAAACACAGAACTCCGGTAGTCTATTGCAGTAGAATTCTTAGTTTAATTGTTTATTGGGTCTTTTAATTTAATCATTTCGTTCTTTTAGTCTTATTCCCTATCTATTCTTGTTCAGTTTATTGTTTTACTTTCCTTGTAGTTGACGTTGTCTGAATAGTTTCCAGCCTGTATGTTGTTATGCTAAGTCCTATTCTGTTTTAGTTAGTGATTGCTGGCAAGCACGCGTTCTCACGGGAAACTCTATAACACTGACCTATTCGTTGAGGTGTCTATATCGATTAGTGTTTGTCATCAATGTCGTCTGTCACAATTCATATCCACTTTTATAAAGCATAAAATTACAAAGGTCTCTGTTTTCACATTTGACTTGATAGGGATTGACTCTCTTTTAGCAAATGCCTTCTTTGCTTTAAAATACGTAGACGATAAAGTCAAGTTTATAAAAGACATTGAAGATTTACAGTCCACTGAACATTTTGAGCGACAATACCAGAATATCTGGATTGAATTTTCCAAATTCCTAAATGCAAGCTGCTGATCTTCTTCGTCATTATATTTCATCTTCCAGTAGGGAAACAGATACTGATTATTTTATTTATTTATTTTATTCCTTTGCGTTCCTAGTGGAACATAAGGCTTCAAGCTAGAGGCCTGAAGTTTCAGCAGCAGTTGTTTCATTTTTATGGGGTGGGATTGCTAGTCTCACGCCCAACCTACCCTCTTTGCCGGCCCTGTTAGCAGCTAGCCGAGGTTTAGGAGTACGTCAGCCGGGGAGTGAACCCCGGACCACCTGAGTGGCTGGTGCGCATCCTACCTCTACTTCGCCGATACATCAGACATGGAAGCAAGAGATAATGTAAGTTGGCGAATGACAAGCTGACTTCTTTCCAAGTATTCTGGAAATAAAGCCTCATTTACCCCTCAAGAACATATGAAATTTCCAAAGTAGTTAACAGATAAAATAGTTTGCTTTGTATTCATGAACAGGCTGTATGAATAAAGATAGTGTGTAAAACATAGTCAATCTTTCATAAGATTGTTCGCAATAACATACATCTTATTATTCTCACCATGTAATAGTAGTGTTAATTATTGTTATATTATTATTATTATTACACTCTTCGGTTTCGAGTGGAACATAGAGCTTCAACACCACGTCTCCATTTCATCCTGTTCTCTGCAGTCCTCTTTAGTTGGCTCCACGATTGCTTGTAAACTCATATCTCCTCCTCATACGATCTCCTCCATGTCATCCTCAGACAATCAGTTCTTTGTTTCCCACCCAGATTCCACTCGAGGGGTTACCTGGTGCGTGATGTCGCTCAACGATCTCCTCAGGGTGTGTCCAATCCATTTCCATTTTCCTCAGCATATTTGTTGGGCAATAGGTTCGTGGTCAATTCGTTATCAGAGTTCCCTGTTGCTAATCCTTCCTTGGCAGGCCATCTGATCTTCAGTATGGAGTCAGCTAAAGTAGCTGTTGATGAAAGACTTCAGAAAATTGTTGGGAACGGCTTTGATGACTCATTTAGTTTATGGACGATATCGAATCACTGATTCGACATTAGTGTTGAAAATCTTAATCTTGTTCTTTATGGTGAGTGCAGTAGGCTTCCACACTGATTTCATACTAATGAAAGTTTATCTTGCTTTACCGATCCCTGTCTTTGACATCCTCATTTGTGCCTACCGTCTCTAGTTGAAATGATGCTGCCTGGTGAGATAAGTGAAAGAAGTGACTTCTTTCAAATTTCTCCCGCTGATAGTGATTGGTTCTTGTTGTCGTTGGTTAGGTATCTTCATCGTCTCCATCTTCTCTATGTCCGTCAGAAGTTCTATCCTCAATATCAGCCTCTTCTGCTAACTTTTTGGTTTCCATCTGTAAATCTTCGAGTTTGTGTCATACATTAGTCAAAATGAATTCGACTGATATGGTGTCGTCCATGCAGTTGACTAACCCGACTTACTTTGATGGTTTAGGGGCATACATAAAGTCGCATTTATTTGATTAATAAAGATTATTACTGCTCTGAAGAATCCCAAGTTAAGATACAACTGCATTATTGCTTTACAACAATTACTCAAATATTATTGATTTATTATGATAACTAAACAGAAAATCGATTACGCAATGTATAGTTGTGTTTTTTTTTCTAACATTTATACAATGAGCTTTGATAGTTTCAATACTTTTGAGTATATAATTTTATTACTATCGAACGTCATATGCTGTTTTAAATGTTGTGCGCTTCATAAACATTACTAAATCGTTTTGTTTTTGAAAAGAAGTTTTAACCTTCAATATTATTAAGTTGAAGCATGTAAAATTAATCTGTCAGAGACCACCTAATGTGTTGTAGTGCATCTGATATGAAGAAGATTTTAGTTTTAGGCTAAATACATTTTCAGAGTTGTAAATGAAATTAGGCAGCCTACATAGCCTTCGATTGTCAGACTAGTAGTTATGCTAAATCAATAATGATTGAGGTTGAAAGGATAATTTCCCTTGTAATAGGTAGATTTCGGAGCGACAGTCCTCAGGTTTTTGGTTCCACACTTTGCCGGAGAGGGGGAAGATTTGCGATCGGGCTGTCAAATAAACCTGAATAGAACTTTACTCGACAAGGTTTTCGAATAGCCTCTGTTTTCGTCGCCATCATCACCAGATTATATAGTGACTACTGGAAGGTTTATGGTGGCTAATTATTACATAAACTAGTTGATCACGGATTGATATGAGTTAGAGAACCATTGAAAACCAGCACTGGAGTACTGGACAGCTGTTTCATCCTAGTTTGGGAGTCACCGGCAGTACGCACCCATCGCCAGGGTTCGAACCCAGGACCTTCCGGTTACAAGGCAAGCTCGTATACAATTCAGCCACTGGGAGTCGACCCAATGGCCAGCCCATGAATTCTAACTTCTACCAATTCGTGATTGAGCGCGACCCCAACCAAAGTCGTCGGTGGGACATCCATCCCCACACGTGACATCTGGATGGACGTCACTGGTCACGACTTCTCACTAGAACTCCAGGAAACTCCATCCTGTAGCAAGTCACTAGCGAGCATCTGTAGTTGGTATGTAATGAAGCCGATTTTGCCCTGTAACCGGAAGGTCCTGGGTTCGAATCCCAGTGGGTGCGTACTGCCGATGATTCCCGAACTAGGATGACACAGCTGTCCCGTACTCGCTGGTTTTCAATGGTCCTCTAACTGATATCAATCCGTGATCAACTCGTGTAAACAAAACTAATCCTTACAAACCAACTATAGAAAATATAAACTAGCCGTTTTTTTCCTTTCTGGATAAACTGTAATATTTATATGTGAGTGCTGGTTTTAGTCTGTTGATTGAATACTGAACGTTTACACACCGGGTCGAGTTACACAACTTTTTTTGCATTCTTTTTAGTGCAGGATGTTAAGCATTGTTCTTACATAAATCTTTCAACTTAAGTGGTGAACTCTTTGACTTTAGCAGTGGATGAGCTAGGCTGAAGTATCTCAGAAAAGAAATGTTTTCTGCTTCAGACTCATAAGTGCACTTTGTTTGATGATTATTACTAGCAAGGAAGTAATTTCAGTGAAATTAGGTCTTCCTGCCATCTGACTCTTAACGTCTCATAACACAGTTTCATAGGCGTTTATTACATGCTTTTAAAAGGATTGTTTGTATTATTCTCACACCTCAGGAATTAATATTGAACTGATATGTATATTATATTATATCATTCGTAGCATTCATTATTATTTTGAAAAAAAAACAACAACCAAGTAGTCATATTTAAATTTCGTGTACAAAATTAGTCAATACTTAATGATTGAACATTGAATGATGAAATGGTACACTTATTTAAATAAGGAAACCAAGTATAAAATAATAAATAATAGCAAACGCTTAAGAATCTTACTGTGGAGAATGGTATTTCTTGATTAATACTTGAAATGAGACTGAGAAAATAAAATCAATTTCGATAAAACAACTAATTTTATGTGAAAAAGTGTGGGATATGATTGTCTGTGTTGATACTGATTGCAAAAGAAGTAGATGCAACATAGTGTCTTAGTTCTTAGATTTTTACATTATTCAAAGTTTGATTGAATCACAAGGACAAAGGAGATCGGGGAAACCATGTTGAATCTCATAGTTTTCAACGTCATCCTTAATATTCTGGTTTACGATAATAATAATAATATTCATTGGTCGAAATATTCCATTGCCTAGATGATATCGTCAGTTAAGACTTCATGATTATTTTAGTTGGTTCAGAATGTCCAGTGTTATAACGTCGTAGTTTCAAGGTGGATTTTGTCCCGAAGCTTCATCAGTTAGATTGTGGTAGTGTGATACAGACAATGTGTGCCAACGGAATGTTATTCTCACAGATTCCCACAGTTCAATACTGCATTGGCAACAGAATACTATGTATATTTGAACACTCTATTTCATGTCATTTGATGAAAACTGAAATCACACACTCAGTGATTGGTTAACGAATATAAACTGTAGATATATAAACAGTGGTTTGATAAATGAAAAATCTACCTTGACTCCCGTGTCTTGCCTTCTGTTGTTACAAGATAACTGTTGAAAACCAATGGAGCACATGGCATTTGTTCTCAGTGGTCCTTTTACTTATATTAGCTCATGAAGAAGTCATCCTTTGAGATAAACAAAAAGGGTATTAATGCAACTTCTAAATGTCTTTCACAGAAGTCTAACATAAAAGTTGAAGTCCCACTAATTTTTGACTTGTTGCATTATTTTAATCTTGACAATACTTTGTTTACCATCGATCAAGTTAGAATTTATTATATTTACTATTATTTCAGCTTAAGGCATGGAGAAGGGTCGAAGTTCAGTCTCATCCATTGGGTTTTCTGCTTAAACTTTATTATTAAGAAAGAAACCGCTTTGTTTTTGCAGAAGAAAACATTCAAACTTCAGTATCATAAAGACGAAAATTCTTTAAAGCCTTAAGAGAAATTTGATTTTGTTTACGATAAAACTGTGTAGCTTTGGTTTTACACTAGGCTTATCACATCTTTGAGTTTTTGAGCACATGCAACACTGAATAGACATATTTTCTGACTATTTAACCGTACACATCTTGACTTTGTCTTTTTAAGATTTGAACTTTATTCATTTGTTCTCAGACGCTGCTCTTTTCTTTTAACCTAAATTCTCTCTTGACTATTTTCTGCTATGCTTCGGTATTCATTTATTGCTTTACATTAAAAAAAAAGTAACAAGCGTCAATCTTCACATTTTATTATAAGTATAGATATGCTAATCTAAGCCTATTTCAGCTTTGTTAGTATATGGATAAGTGAACGTAGCATATAGATTCCTTTGTTTCCAATTCAATTACCATAATGCTTTTCAATGAAGAAACTACCTACTTTCGTTTATGATCAGCTGTGGTTGTTTGGATGAAGTTTGGTTGCGAGTGGCCAATTAGCACACACACAAAGTTCTGTTTTTCAGTGCCCATCTTAAGTTTATAATGATTCGTAGTAAAAATGACCAGAATTGAAGGTAAATAAACAACGCGCGCGTGTTTGACTAAGATCGATGTTTATTAAGAATCACTTTCAAAAACCTGTTCAGAATTCTTGGCATATTTATAGTAAACATTTGTCATTGTATGTGTCTCCCAAGTATAAAAAATGGTCATGAAAAATTATATTCCCTCATTTTTTTGTTTCTGTGTTTGATTCGCCTTCTTTTCAGTCGGCCGTATACGATCCCGATGATCTGTGTAAAAATATCCGTCAACAGTGGGATCGTCTTCCGCTCCCAATCGCTGATCTGTGGAAGAAAAGGAGAAAGGTAATACTGTTCAGTTTATTATCGTTATTTAGCGTATATGTATATTTGTGTTTGCATTTGTAGTTGTATATGTATGTAGATTTTATTGTGGGTTGACTGTCCTTTTTGTATGTGATATGATTCTTGCCAATTCGTCCAATATAAATGCACTAAAGTTATACCTGTTTTGTAAAACCTGGGAGGACGAAACAGCTGTCCACTACTCCCTGCAGGTTTTCCACTGGTTCTCTAACTGATGTCAGATCATGACGAAATCCTCCATCCAATCAAAGAAAATCCCTACAAAACCAATACTTGAAAAATTATACCTCTTTTGTAACCTGAGCAGTCTTCCCAGCTTCGAATATCGTATAGGCATTCCATGTTCCCATGCTCATTTTTACTTTCATCGAAAGAAAACACATCGATTGACTAGTTCCTTGAAGACCTTCACCAGTCCATATCACTTCATCTCATCGATTCTAGCAGAGAATGAGTTTATTTTGCATATTTTTTTCTGTGGTTTGAAATTTCTGTAGCAATTGGATTGATTTCACTGGGTAGTGTCACTAGCCCCCCGCCATACCTTCCCTCTTTGTCCTGAGCTTATGACTGGCTAATAAACTAAGTAGGAGTTCAAACTTGGCATGTCACTAAAAGCATTGCCGATAGCTTGGAAACTTATATCAACAGCTGTCTTCTCTGTCTCGATGCTGAAGATTGATCAGATGGTCAGAAAGAATTAACAACAAGCAACTCTGGGAACGAACTAGTTAAGAATCTATTGCCTAACAAATATACTGAAGGAAATGCATGTGGATTCGTTACACGCTGAGGAAACCGTTGAGTAACGTTACGTCTTACGCCACCGTTCGAGTGGAACCCGAATGGGAAACAATGAGTTGAGCGTATGTTCTAGGGTGATATGGAGGAGATCGTACCAGGAGGAGATGAAGGCCTGCGGGCGATTGTAAGAGACAAATAAAGAGGATTTCAGAGGACAAGATGAAATGTAGATGTGCCGTTGAGGTCCCATGTCCCGTTTGGGACCCAAGGGGAATAATAATAATAATTGTACCTTAACTTTTCTCGGTATTATTTATTTGTCTGTAATTTATTGTAACTTTTGATCGAAGATTTTTTAATAGGACCTACCCATTACTATCTTCAACTAAGGGATGTGTTATTCATTGTGGAAAACTGCGCGTGTGTAGTTGATAAACAGTTTGTCAACTTTTCTGCAGATTTTTAACCTTAGTTTTAATTGTAGTTAGCCGACCACAGATTCACATTATGCTAATGCACTTGACTAAGCGGATGAAGTAGTAGTCCAGTGCCTGTCCAGTACTCCCAAGTTTTCTAATGTTTCTCTAACCGATGTCACTTTATGTTGAAATCCTGGAACCAATCAAATCCCTGCAGACGAACATTTGGATATCAATCTAAAGCTCACTAGTGACTAGCCCTATTCAGGTAGGTAGTTACCTGAGTTCTAGTGGGAAGTCATGACCAGTGGGTTACAGCAGGTCGGGTGTGAGGACAAATACTCAGCACCGATGACATAGACTAGCGCCAGTCACTGCAAATCGTAAATTGGCAGAGATTGGAATTGATGGTTTGGCCATTGGATTGGGTCCCAATGACTTAATGGTCTACAACCTCGCCTTGTAACCGGAGGGTCTTGGGTTCGAACCCTGGCGGTCTGTGCGCACTAACGAAGAGCCTCGAACTAGGAAGGAAATGATGTCTAGTGCTCCGAGGTTTTCCAATGGTCCATTAACCGATGTCAGTTCCTGATAAAATCCTGAAGTAGTAGTTAATTATTCCAGATTTCTTTATATCACCCAACTTGTGCAACTCGTTGTTTACTGTAGATTGTTTACAACGACGTATTTCACTTGATTGTGTTATTTATTGTAATTTCCAAATGTTTGACTCAACTACACAGCGGTAGAATGCTCGTCAACTACGCAAGTAGTTCGGGGTTCGATCCCTGGCAGATGCACTCCTTTGCCTCGCTAAGCCAGTAATAAGACTGGTAAAGAGGGATCTAAACAGTTGTGAAATTCCTCCTGTTTGAGATTCTCCAGGCATATGCACATCCAGGATCTTAGCCAGGACTTTCACTTTATGTTTCGAGCAGGTTTGTCAATCAACCACTGGATTTCAAAATCATGAATTTTTTAATCTTAATCCCGGACAGTTAAAAGTTGTATTTTCTTTTAAAAAGCGTCTTATATCCTTTTTCGAGTGTAATTGTGTATTTCTATTTTCTTTCATTTATGCCGTAGTTAAATTTTCATGAATTATGCCAAATACGTAAACACAGGGCATACACGCACATGCATATGCATATATACATGTGTGTGTGTGTGTCTGTATGCTGTACACAACTATTTAGGATTCACAGTGTGAATTAATTTTATTCTTTATGCGATTCTAGTTGTGTAGGTTTATAATAGAACTCGGTAGGTTATATGAGTAGGTAATTAATTAATTAATTATATAATCAGATGTGTACTGCATACTTACTCTTACTCAGTCACTCACCTTCACCTACCCACCTACCACCACCTATATAGGCAGACAGACATAATTTTACTATCACTATTTTTACAGATATAGTAGAGCTTATAACGTAAATACCCACCCACCCACCCCCCACACACATACACACATACTCACACACTTGTATAAAAATATAGGAATGCAGAGAGCTTGCCAAGATTCATCTATCACATAACACTTACACTTACGTATACAATTCGTATTTAAGTTGGAAATGGATCCCATTTCGTTTATCACTCATCAAAAGGTTATAAAATAAATAAATAAATAAATAAGATGATAGAAAGGGGAGGGGAAAATGTTTACAACTTTGTTTATCGCTTGTAATAAATATTCCAAAGACATTGGACTAAGTTATTTGTTACTGGTTCGGTCATGAGCTGAAATCAGTTAGGAAAACACTGGAAAACTGAGGAGTACTGGACAACTCCTGAAACACCTGAAAAATCAATCTGATACTTGCTAGCAACTGGCTCTACACGGGAAGTTACCTGGAGTTGTAGTGAGAAGTTGCAGCCAGCAAGGGGGTTTATCAAGTCCGGTAAGAGGAGGACATTTAATCACCGAAGACATCAGCGGTTGTTCTATGTGCATAGTGAACTGGCAGAGTTCGGAATTCATGAGCCATCGAATTGGGTCCCAATGGTCTGCAAGCTCGCCTTGTAACCGGAAAGGCCTTGCTAGCTGCGTACTGTTAAAGAGTTCCAAAATACGTTGAGATAGTGGTTCTCTGAATGATGTCAGCTAGTAATCAAACTTGCAACCAATCAAATCACATTTGGAGAAAGTTGTTTGTGTTTGTGTACTTTCTTTTCGCACCATTTCTTATATCCAATCAGAATTTTTGGCTGTCAGCAACAACAACAACAACAGGTTTACAAACGTTGCTATAGATAAGCAGACTTACAACACAGCTGATTCGGTCAATTATTTCTTTCATTAGAAGAAATTTTTAACTCATTACTCATATTTCTTTGATCAGTGTAAAAGCAAGCATGCATGGATGCATAGAGAGAGAGAGAGAACTATTTCAACTAGGCTGTGATCTATGTGGTCTATTCTTGTGTTATTTTGTTTTCTTTTACGTTGAAATCGTATCTGTTATTTACCCTTTAAAAAACGTAAGAATTTAAGGCATAAGAGAAGAAAACGGAGATGAAGAGATGTGGGTGTTTCTTTCTATCACGCACGCACACTCACACCCCACCTTCCCACCCTACTTTATGCGTATTCTATTTATTTGGCAGAACACTGTTGCATTTTTTTCCTCCTCAAATGATGCGTTGATGATTCAGTGATTAATTTTCTAGTGTTTTGAAGTAATCAATGACACTATTTAAAAGATATCATAGTTTAAATGGTTATAAATGTATAGTGGAGTAGAACAGGGGAAAGGTTTATATGATGAGAATGAATGTGAGACTGGAAAATTCTATTGTTTCATTTTGTTTCTTCTGCGTGTATTAACCGGTGTTTGTTTTCTCTAAGGCTAAATGAAATGTTCTCAAGTATTAGTTTTGTAGGGATTTTGTTTGATTGGTTGGAGAGTTTCATCATGAGCTGACATAAGTTACTTCTACTAGTAACTTTTCTGTCAGTGGGAAAATATTAGAAATTCTATTTCACATTAATTGACAATTTGTTTGTAAATTTTTCTCTTTCCAGTTTCATGACAAAAAGTGGAGTACTTTGAAGTTTACAATTAAGTCTAAAATAATAACGAAATCCCAAAGTTTGCCAATCTCATCACTGTCTCTTTTCTATCAATACATATGTGTTGACTATGAACGAGTATACTTCTGCTATTTTTGATTGCACACTAGTCAGTAACTAGTGTAATGCTTCTAGTCCTATCTTCGGTGCAGACTGAATTCTACCAGTCATGTTTGCAATGTGGCCACCATGCTAGGTGGCTAGCCATTACGGTGCACTGTGAATTGTTGGTATTAGATGGTTGGAGGCAATCGGTAGGAAGCCTTGGACCTAGGTTTCGTGCTAGTTGGCACTCATCAGCAAGGCGTATCTGCAACGTTGAAGGAACTCATGTCCCTTCTGAGATTCGAACCCGCGTCACTAGACGCATTACACTAGTTACTGACTAGTGTGCAATCAAAAATATCCAATACAGTCCTACAGGAGGTCAGTCGCGAGCCTGAATAGCTCAGTGGTAACGTCTTTGACTGCAGCACTGGGTGACGCGGGTTCGAATCTCAGAAGGGACATGAGTTCCTTCAAGGTTGCAGATACGCCTTGCTGACATGTGAGTGGCAACTAGCACGAAACCTAGGTCCAAGGCTTCCTGCCGATTGCCTCCAACCATCTAATACGTCTGCTATATTTGCATTGAAGATTAATCTTGGCGTCCCAGGAGTTGCGAACACTCCAATGACCTTGAACGCATGCTACTCGTTGGCTAACGGTACCTGTCATTATCATAGCTGAAATATCAACGCTATTCATGCTAAGCAGGAAATTTCATTCAGATTATGTTTTTAAGTACTATTTCGACAGTATGTTAATGGCTCGTTAAGGTTAGGATTAGGGTTAAGGTAAGTATTGGGTTTAGGGTCAGGATCAGGGTGCACTAGGGTTAGGTTTACGGTTAGGATAAGGGTTACGATTAGAGTGGAGTGCATTAGATTTCCACACTGACTTCAGATAAACGAATGTCTCTTTTGCCTTTCCGATCCCGGGTGGCTTTTACATCACCATTCATCCCACCTATACTTGAAACGATGCTGCCTAAATAAGTGAAAGAAAAAACTTCCTTTCTTGATTAGTAGTTGCCGCTGTTGTTCGATGAGTATCGTCATCACCTCTGTCTTCTCTATGTTCACTTTAATTCCTCATCTTCACTGCCTGTCTGTTATGCCAACTTGTTGGTTTTCACTGGTATATCTCCGAGTTTGTTTGACATTAGACATAAAACATCCACGAAGTCCAAATCATCTTCTTTTAAACTCAACATATTCTTGTCTCTTCTATCTCTTTAAGGTCTCTCACGTGATCCAGTCCACCAAAATCAGAGTGGTCATCACTTATAGTAGACTACCTTATCTTAATCTTGTCTTCAGATGATTTCCCCCTCTCCCCTTAGCCACTAATTTACAAATATTTTTCTAACTTCTTTGATTAATGACTTTTGTTAATTACCTTAACAGATAAACAAACTAACATAATGAATTTGTGTTGTTTTTTAAGTGATTAGGTTTCATTTCATGTATGAAAAACGGAATATGTATAATTTACCACAGGTAGAAACAGAAAAACAAACATGATAAAATCACATGTTGTGTTTGTTGTTTTCTTTTTGGTAGAAATTTGAACAAATTATTGATCTAAGTGTCCACATCACAACTCCAACCAAAGTCTTAGTTATAATACAATCATTCACTATTAGATAACGAATTTTGGTGTGTACATATACACATACATGTGACCCATCTTTTGAACAAACAAATTAAATTAAATACGATATTTATTTATTTATCGCATTGTTCTTCCACTATGTTCAAATTGCCATTTGACTATGCTGAGTAGAATGCACAATGTCCCAATTTGTATAGTAATCGTATTAGTTGTATCTTATCTTTGGAAAAGATATATTGATTTTGTGTGAATTTTAAAGTAGGTTATCAAAGGGCATCTAAATAAGCATGCGCATAGATGGATGTCGAAGTGTGGTTGCAAAATCTCTCTCTCTATGTATGCGAGTGTGTGTGCGTAGATTTACGTATGTATGTGTTAAATGTTCAACGTTTAGCGTGTTCATTCTACCCTTTGTGTTATATTGTAATTTCATCACTCTGATAAGTGTATAATTATGATTATAATTAACTATGCAGATGGTAGATGTATTATACAGAATGCAGAAAATGAAGGAAGCCTAGTCTTATCAACTGTTGATTTATGTAGGGCTTTAGTTGTTACCACCACATCTTGAGATAAATACTTTAACCTACTTGCAGTGCCGTATTACTTAGTCTATCTGTCTGATATATTACTGCCGTCATTGTCGTTGGCCGGGGATGATATGCTCAAACCAACTAGCAACTCATCTTAAGCTACTGCTCCACCAATTTCTTTCAGCGTGACTGGTTACTTTTTTATAAGTCACCAGTTACCGATTTGCTGTATTTTCTCGATTAGCTGTTGGATGAGGAAAGCACGCTGGCTGGCATTGTCAGAGTAATCACGGATATCACCAGTACGCCTCCGACACATGTGTGTTACGAATGTCTAGCTATTGCCTTCCTTAGATGACATAGGGTCAGGTTGGAAAAGAGCTAGTAATGGTCAAACCAAAACATGGCTTCATCAGTTAATGAAATCCACAACAGTTGGTTTAAGCCAGCCTCATAGGGAGGTGTAGACTTCCTGCTTTTGGTCCTCGGAATGGTAAAATCGATTGAAGAATGGAAACAATTGTTGATATGGCCCAAAATACTCGTTATAAATGGTTGGCGAAGAAGTATCCACTCCTTGTGACTTATAATACCCAATAAAACTATGTTGTTCTTCCATATTACTATTCTTTTTGCCTCATATCTCTGTTTACTGTTTCTGTTTTACATTTCTTTTTACTTTTTTCTCTTGCTTTGTGCGCTAAGTGAAGTGTGGCAACTCGAACTGCTGCACATTAGTGCAAAGTTCTATGTTGAAACCAGTCAGTCAGTCACGCTACCGACTTTCTGAGTCTACTGGATAAAATCCTCACTACTACGTAAGTGAGAATACACCGAGATTGCTGGAAGGAATATATTCACACAATAACAAAGGTTTCAAAAAATCACCAAAGTTATGTTAATTAGTTTATTATTATGACCTTATTATTTTGCATAGACCAATTCTGATTGGTTAATTTCTAGACTGGACATCGATCGCCATATCACTATCACACTACATACTACGTCAGCATTTAAAAGTATATAGGTATCATGGTTATCTTTTGGTGACCAGTTCACAGGTAACATGCACACCCACACTGTCTTACTTAAATATATGAACTTGTATCTTACTCATACAGTGATTTATGTCTTATAACCACATTTGTTCTTTGAATTCATATGACAGTCATACAATCCTTTTGATGTACTGAATGACAAGCCTTCCGCCTGGTAATGGCACATAAGCGTCTTGGACATCAAACAAAGATGCTTATCACTGGTATTGATTACAATTCTCTAAAAAAAATCAAATGTACATTTTGTTAAATGGTCGTAAACTTGGAATGAATACCCGCCTGGAAAGATATGAATTTCAGTGGTGGTTGCGTTGCGTACTGCCACTTCGCAAAATTTGCTACTGCGAAGGTCTAAACGTCAAAGTACAAATTGATATGCTGTTTTCGTTATGATTTCAAATGCTGACAACTCAGTGTTCAGTATGCTTACTGAGTTCATATACTAAAAATCCCGCAGTGGGGGAGATGTGAATCATTACCGTAAACACTGGACCTTCAGTCAGTACGTCCTAGTTTCATAGCCTGCTCCACCTGCTTCAGCCTCGGCAATAAGGTAGTACTATCAGCCTTCACATGATGAGTGCGGCTCATATACTTGTAGTTGAAAGATCTGTTTCTAGGCATCTGGGTACTAACGGAAACAAAGTAGGTAATCTCGCCTTCTGGCTGCTCTATCTAAAGGAAGGCGAAATCTAATAATTTGAAACAACAAGCATTATATCACTTAATGTTTTCCCTCTATGTTTCTTTTTACTTCTCTAACTATCTACAACAATAACAACTCGGATTGTATCCCTACAGGTATGTATTGTCAGTGATTCAGTCGGTAAAGAGAGTCATGAGAAGTCAGATTTACCATGGAAGTCTTCATCCACCTCAAATGATGATCATAGTTGGGAGCAATTTTATGAGTTTAATAAAGCCTACATGGAATGCCTAATCACTTATTTAAATGAGGTGAAGTGTATTGTCACTATTCACACCGAGAAAAATGCGTCATCCTCGTCGTCGTCGTCGTCGTCGTCGTCAGCAGCAGCAACGACAAACGATAATACTTGTGCCAAAACTAGTCAATCTTTTGATTATCCTACTGTGCATTTATTAGAGTCAAGTGAAATAAATTTGTTGGACAACAGTTGGCAGCAAAATCAATTGATTCAAATTGACAAAGAACGTGAAATTTTACAGGTTAGTGCACACATGTGTTTTTTTTGCTTAATTCGCTTCTAGTTGTGTAGAGTTTTTGTATGTTTCACATTGCGAATAAAGAATGATGAAACTGTTTGTAATGCTAACTCAGACAAGAAGAAAACTTCATCAGTAATTTGAAATCTTGTCTCTGCATTTTTCTTTATCTTTGGGGCAGTTTTCAGTTTTCATTCTAGATAAGTTTCAAACCAACTTGCTAAAACTTAATCTCTGGGTGTAATTGTTCAGATATTAAAGTGTCAAACCCAATTAATGAAGTACCCGTTCGTTATCATTCTCACATTGACCGGTATCAAATTCCTGTATTTCTATTATATATTCTCTTTGGTTAATCGCTAATCTTATCACTCTTGTAGTCATAAACATTCTGTACAGAAGGTGAAATAGTCGCAATCATCTAAGAATTGTTAATTTTCATGAATTCTGTGTGTAGGAATTTCCTTGATTTCATCGTAGATTTCGTTAAGAATTGAGATTGTGTTTAGAGGGCAATTAAAACCCTCGGGTCATCCTAGTTTACGATAATTCAGCTGTCCAGTGCTTCTTCTTGTACAACAGAAATTACAGCGACACATTCACACCAGTTATCAAGGTTAAAATGGTCTGAGGCACTTAGCCCCCCCTAATTTATCTTTGACGGATTCCAAGCCTATGCAGGGGTAATCATGCACATTAGTTTATTTATAGCCTGTGCATTTAACCCAATCTATTTGCCAGCGAAATAGAAGAAAACATGCAGCACGTTATTCACTAAATAAACGAGTAGTTGTTAATTGAATTAAGTAGTATAGCATAACGAAAAGTGAGACTGATAGCTACAATTCACATAGCTCTGTATGTGATGATATCTAATAGAAATCAGCAACTATTTTAATGGAGATTTAGTTTGTTTTTTAAGCGATAGTTGGTCTAGTAATCACATATTAAAGCATGATCTGGTGTTTGGGTGTTGTCATAAGATGTGACTTGGTCGACTGCATGACAGTCAAGTTAACTCGCTAGCGTACGAGGTAGAATGGTAGATCGTGGTAATGTAAACAGATAGTGCAAAACAAAATTCAGTTATTCACCATATATGTGGTCACCTAGCGTAGATAAAATGAAAGATCGGTGAGACATCAGAAATCAGCAAAACATCTCTACTAATGCTGTGGTTGTTTTCAGGTCATCAGTACATACAAGCTAAATAGAAGTGATTGAAGCATCTTCTTATATTTGAAGGAGAGCTAACGGCTAATGCACTTGAATTGTTCCAATCTAAAGAGCTGTCGTCAGTCAAACCACCTTATTTTCGACTACCTGAACTAATTGATCCGATCATCCACACAGATGCCTATCAGTAGTTGATTGCATCGCTCAGTTTTCCTGTCTGCAACAATGACACAATTGACATTGTGAAAGAAATCACTGGTTGTGATCTGAGTATTTTAATTCACCGTATCTTCATAAATACATCACTCTAGACTGTAAACGTTCTTCATCTTGGGCAAGAATCTGACCTAGTTTTGACGTAAATATCACATGGCCGCTTCCATGCGAACAAAAATAAGTAAAGATTGCTGTATCAGGAACTGTTTTAAATTTCACGAATAGAATAAAACAGAGTGCATCGCCAACTATGTCAGAGGTCCGCGTTCGACTCCTGACCGACGTACTCCTAAACGTCGTATAATTTCCCGATAGGTAGCAAGCCCAGAGAAGAAGGAAGGCTGGGTTCGAGTCTAGCAAACCCACATAGTAAAACTAACATCAGCGCTACTGAAAGTTCGAAGCTTGAAGCCTTATGTTCAATTCAGACGGCAGAGGAATTAAAAAGACTTGATAATCAATAAAAGGTCACTAATGCGCTAAAATAATCTCAATCTATCTATAGGTAGCATATAGTTAAAATAAACCACTCGAATGAAACAACTGAATTAAACGGACAGTATGAATCATGTGGACTGCAACTTTCAATTTTAGAGAATTAAATAAATGTTAGAAGCTGATGGGGAAAATCACTGTTTCAGACAGCCAGTCAGATTAAAACTCCATCAGATGTCGGATTAGTATTCTATCAGAATGCCCAAGTTTTGTTCCTGCATTGTCCTAATGTTTTTCCGATGTTGGCTTTTCGTTAGACCGCAGGAGGATTATGATTGGCTTTTGAACGTATGCTAACATTCATTATCTCTATATGATCTCATAATTCCGTAACTAGAACGGTTTTTCCCACCGAAAAATTCTAAACGAGAATACCTGGAATTAAATGAAATCTAAAGTTGCGTAGATCAGGGTACATGTATGTATAATCTACTGAGTTACGGCCTAAAATATCACAGCATTCTCATTTTCTTTCTTTCTTCACACAAACACAGACAAACAGATGTGTATCATATTCCACTCAATTGAATTTTTGTCTACTGACGTATTTAAAATAATAAAAATTAGTTATGCATCATAGATATTTTTTTACTTGCAATCACTTGAAATATGTGAGTGATTATTAGTAAACAGGATTATCCAACTGTGTTATACTTACCAGACTTTTAAATATATTGTTATTTGGAAGAATACTACTGATATGAGTAGTTTTAAGTTACCTGTGAGATAGGCCTATCATCTTCTTGGTTAATTGAACCGATTACACATAACACTGGTTCCTGTTAAACCTCTACCCATTCAGACGAATTTCTTGTTTATATGGATTTAAATTTGGTATCAATTTTCCCTAGGAGTAATAGTGAATGGTAAGTAGTTGACTCAAAGATTCTACTCGTAAAACTATTCGTAGTCGTTTCTCTTCTTTCTTTTCTTGAAATCTAAGTATCTTCGCTGCATCATCGATGTTAACAGACTACATTTTCTTCTTAGCTGGATCTACATGAGCTTACTGTTATTAAGTCATAGTTGACTGTTGGTTTTCGTTTGACATAATTTCAACGAATTACTTCTGATTGATTCAATATGGCTGCAGTAGCAGAAGATAAGAGACTGGGTGACAGAATTTCATTGAGGAAAAAAACGTCGTATTTATACACTCAGCCATATTAAAGTTTGGCTAGGTCAGTGGATAGTAAACTATTCTGATTGGCTGGTGGTTGGTCCAAAGTTAAACAATTTGTCCAATGAGGTTTTTTCATGTTCATGACGTAAATTAAATCCAGATTTGAGGAATAGGCACTTCTACCTCTTCAGACATTGACTTAAAATGTTGATTTCAATTTTGGCGGCTTCCTATCAGTCTACATCTTGCTGCAACACCACATTACAGCTGTGTATGTGTATGTATACGGAATCGGTACCGACATGTTTATTTTATGACAGCTTTTGAATTACTGGGGTTTAATTAAGTGTATATTGGGGTTCGAACTAGTGAACCAACAGTTAGTGACCAGAAACTTGTGATACAGCTCTATGTTAAACAAAAAGATCTTTAAACCAGTCAAATATACTTTACTTTCATGTGTTTCTGAGTACTGCTATATTCAAATTTTAGCTCGATCACGTATCATTCACCCTCTTTTTTGTCGTCATACTGTTTGGAATATACCTAAGGGTGTTTATATAGGTCGCTAAATTAATAATAATGCATAATGTTTCTTTAATAAAAGTCCTTTCATAATTATTGGGATTATGAATGCTTTCTTTTGTTTTAAAATTAAAACAGGTTAGTTTTAATGAAATAAGCGTACTAGCTGATTTCCTACACGTTCTGTTCTCATCATCCTCATTATTATCATCGACATTGTCATCATTCCCTGCTTCGTCTTTACCTCCATCAACATCATCATCATCTTCATCATCTAGTCAAATCCCCTTGATAAAAGATATCAAGCAACAAAAACAATGGCAAGAGTTAATCAGTCAAATGAGGTTAACAGCATCTCGTGCATTTGAACAATACACCTGTCTGGGATTTTTAAAACAGATTATTCGACGGCCTGGTGGATTGTATGATTTGTCTAATTTTATGACAGGTTAGTTTCGCTGCATATTTAATGTGAATACATTTTGTTTTAGCAGTTAGCTGAAACCTCTAGTAAATTTTCTTTCTTTGTTGATACAGTAATTTATTATCAGTACTGCATTTAGTCCTGATTTTCACTGTGCACACTCAGAAAACATAATGAAGTCACACATGTACAAAAGAATAACAGAAGTGGCAACTGATAGGCGAGGATAGGCTTTTATAGCTCAGCAGTTTAGTTAGTGATACTCAGGTATTTGAAACAGTGGGTATAGAAGACTGAAAGCATTAAGGCGTGTGTGTGTGTAATACACTCACCTATTTCGGGACGAGGAAATTTTGATTAACTGGTCGTTTCTGAATAGGACAGCTCGTAATGAGAATAGTATGTTTCGACGGAGAAAGAAAGACCAGATTTGCAGTATAAAATGACATCATCGTTCTATTTCACAGGTTCTACCTGAAATTACAATGGTTATAAATAATAACATTTCATACTTCAATGTTTGAAAGGTAATAGTGAAAACATTATAAGATGAACGCATCCGGGATATAAGCATTGCAATTTTTTAGTTTAAGTTACCATCATTTTATATACTATCAAACTATGAAAGAAAAAAGGGAGGTGAAAGAAGACGGAAAACAGAAAAATCTAATAAACAGTGTTAGCTTGTACGGCAACATGGCAACTCAAGAAGGTTAAAGTTGAAAACTGGCTTAGTGAATTGAGCTCACTGGTGTGTACGACTAATCAGTGTAATGAAATTAATACGGTTACCAAGGTAGTGAGAGATTGACTACACTCTCTTTTTGTGTGCATAAGTTTGGTCTGAAACGTCTGATTGCAATTGCTTCAGCGGATCGTAGTCGATTCTCTGTCCTTTGTATGTTTAATATTTTCGACAAAATGACCTGTATCTACAGTATGGGTG